AGGCATGGTTTCCACGTAAAGTAGCAAACTTTACACGCATGCAAGCTCTTAAGTGTCAAAACCAACCTAAGGGAGGGGTTTTAGCCAAATAAGGGCCAATGCTTAATATATTCAGTGAATTTATAAATCTATGGACTTAGAGGAGTCCAGATCTGAAGTTGCAACTCCAGATCTTACCCAACACCCGAAATGCTTCACAAATATACTAAAAATGGCCCAAAACCCAAGAAAAGGGGGATCTAATGCTAGAATGATCAAGGTAATAGCTTGTTACCTTCAAATGGGTGCCCAAACCTTGAAGATGCCGGATCTACAATCTCCTTCCCTTTCCAAGCTTCTCAACCTTTAAACTCCTTCAACTAAATACACCAAAAACGCTCTCTTAGCCTCTCAAGCATAAAGAAACAGCAAAGAACAACTTAGAGTTTCTTCTCTGGGTAGTGAAGTGGTAAGGGAGGCCACAAGAGGCGAATTAAGTCCTTTATATAGAGTGAAAACCCTAACAATTAGGGTTTTCCTTTACAATGGCTACTCGTCGAGTCAGTGCCTTCTAACTTGTCGAGTAGGATCTAATTCACGCATTCTTATAAATGATCTCTACTCGATGAGCTGGAGCTCCCCAGCTCGTCGAATCCTAGCATAAAACCCTAAAAAATTGAAAAATTAAATGATACCTAGAACGAATGTTACACCTATGGTTGATGCAATTACATTTCATTATCCAATAAGTCTGGCAACACAAGAAAATTGGATACGTATCTGATGGATTTAGTTACCGCCTATTTATATGGTTCACTTGAAAATGATATTTATATGAAAATCCGAAAAGAGTTTAAGGTTTCATAAGCACAAACTTCTAATTCTCGTGAAGTATATTCGGTAAAATTAAATAAATCTTTGTATGGATTGAAACAATCTGGCCATATGTGGTTCAATTGTTTAAGTACATTTCTGTTGAAAAAGGGCTTCAAAAATGATCCATTAAGCCCATGTATATTAATAAAAAGATCTGGATTAGAATTTATGATAATTGTTGTTTACGTAGACGATATGAACATAATTGGAACTCCTTGAGAATTGGAAAATGCCTCTTCTTATTTGAAAGAGAATTTTGAAATGATAGATATTGGTAAAAACGAAATTTTGTTTGGGTCTTCAAATTTAGCACACCAAAAATGGTGGTTTTGTACATCAATTCAGATATCTAGAAAATGTGCTTAAAAGGTTTTATATGGATAACTCACATCCATTGAGTAATCTGATGGCAGTAAGGCGTTTAGATGACAAAAAGGAGCAATTTTGGCCTTGTGAAAAACATGAAAAACTTATTGGTCTCGAAGTGCAATATCTTAGTGTTATTGTGCACTATTGTATCTTGCTAATAATACAAGATCCGATATATATTTTGCTTTAAACTTATTAGCAAGATATAGTTTTTTCCCAACAAGAACACACTGGAATGGATTCAAACATATTCTTCGATATCTTCAAGGTACAATGGATATGGGCTTATATTATTCAAATTCATCAAATGTGGAGTTAATTGGTTATGTAGATGTTGGATATTTGTCTGATCTATACAAATCTTGATCCCAAATAGGTGATTTATACACTTGTGGAGGTACTATAATTTCTTGACGTTCTGTTAAAAAAACTTTCGTTGCTGCTTCTTCTAATCATACAGAGATTATAGCAATTCTTGAGGCAAGCTGTGAATGTATTTGGTTAAGAAATTTAACTCATCACATTCATGAGAATTATGGTCAAACTTCTAACAGGGACGTTTAAACCATACTATATAAAGATAATGTGGCTTATATATATATATATATATATATATATATATATATATATATATATATATATATATATATATATATATATATATATATATCCTAATTCAAGGAAGGGTTTATTAAAGGAGAAAGAACCAAACATATATCACCAAAGTTTTTTTCACTTATGATCTTCAAAAGAACGTGGTGTCAACATTCAAAAAAAATTCAATCAAGTAACAACTTGGCAGATTTGTTCACTAAAGCGTTTCTTAGATCCAAATTTGAAAACATGGGACGAAACATTGGAATGCGACGATTTAAAGAAATCAAGTGATGTGATGATCAGGGGGAGTTGGAAACATACTGTACTCTTTTCCTTAGCTATGTTTTTCCAACTGCGTTTTCTTAGCAATGTTTTTAACGAAGCAATTGGTCCCAATATTTATTATTAATCATGTACTGTTTTTCCTTAATAAATGGCTTTTTCCCATGAGGTTTTACCTATTAAGATTTTAACGAGGCATGTTACAATTATCATTCAAGGGGGAGTGTTATGAAATATTAGTTTGCGAATGACCATTGAATTCTCTATTTCTCCCATAATGCACAATCATTATTTGGTATTAGTAACAATCATTTTAATGTGTGTTATAAATGTGATAACGCACCATCATAATGTGCATTTATATTATAACTCATCTTTAATCTTATTTTCTTAATATAAATAGTGAGTCATGTGTATTAGAAACTTGATGATTTCATCACAAGTATTGGAATAAAAGTTATCTCCACTCTAATTTCTTTCATTACTCTCACTACTAGAAAAACAGCCTTTTACGACGCTCATTGCGCGTCGTAAAAGGCTCAGACGACGCGCAAATGCGCGTCAAGGAAGGCCATGTCATAAAGAGAGACGACGTGCTTTTGCGCATCGTCTATAGACGACGCGCATTTACGACGCTCATTTACGACGCGCAATTACGACGCGCGTTTAAGACACACAATGCGTATCAAGGAAGGCCCTGTCATAAAGGAAGATGACACGCGTGTTAATGACACGCAATGCGTATCATAAAAGGCCCTGTCAAGAAAGGCCATGTCATAAATGAAGACGACACACATTTTTGCGTATCGTAATTTTAATTTTTTTTTAAAAAAAATTATTTATAGATTTACTGATTTTCAAATTAAATTTGCATTTCATGTCTCACAATTCGAAAAATACAATATATTGCACAAAATTTAATGTCATACAAATAATCATTCTTATAATAGACAAATGTAACATTTGAACATTTTTTTTATATAATTAACTAAATTATTCGCCAAATTTCCTAAACTACCAACATACTTTTCTATGAAGAGCATTAACACTATTCTTTTCCATCAAAAACTTCAAACCTGCATAATTAAATTAATGTTTAATCAGCTACAGGTCAATAAGGTAGATTTAAACAAAAGATTTTCATAATAGTAAGATTTTATTTACCACTGTTGTTAATGACATTGAAAGAAGCAGCCCAACAAACACCCCCTTAGAAGGATTACTACCACATAACTGTTGATATTTGATACTTTATTACTAAATGAAACAAAAAACAAAGTTAAAAAGTAAACAAAATCAGAAGGTTCTAGTCAAACTTACAGAGGCTGTATTTCCAAATATTACTAAATGACATTGATTGAACCACCTGCAGATTTACCATTTTGTCCCTATGAGATTCACTACTGAACACATTCTATAGTTTGTAAACTATAATATATATATATATATATATATATATATATATATATATATATATATATATATATATGTATGTATATAATCATTGTGAAAAGCAAGAAATTAGAAATGGAATGTGATTGCATACCATCAAAACCAACATTTTTACAACTCACTTTTTATATATAATGACAATCAAACTATATCAAACACAAACAAATTAACCACTGCACATGTTAAATGAAAAAAGTAAAGCATATGACAGTAAACAATTAAAAAAAATAGGAAAAACCTACCCGAGATTGACATATATGATTCTAGTTATCCAAACATAATGGGCTCAATTTTTGGGTTGGACAAAAGAAAAGATTGCAAACTTTTTTGTCTGGTCTCAATGGACGTCAAAGTAGTACAAGTAAGCTAACTTCTGTTAATTATTATTTATTAGGTGAGGTCCAGTCTTGGACCATCTATCACCTATTATGTAGTATCAAACACATCATGAAATGAGAGAAGACTAACCTGAACAAAATCAAGACGATTAGATGTACTTTCCATTTCTGAACCCAAATCCTCTATAATTTTCTCCTGAAATGGGAAATAAATAACTAAGCTTATTTTTGGTGATCAAACAAAATATCTATCTATCTATGTCAATGGGAAATAAAAAACTAAGATACATACCTGCCATTCAATGCTCTCGCAATTGGAAAGGAGTTCCTTTCTCAGCCAGGATTGTTCCCCGCTGACGCGTTCCCATTCATGAAAGCTGCCCTAGAGGCTATAATCACAAAATAAATGATTATAAGATGATAAAACACTAACATACTTTCCCTGTACCAGGAGGATCGTAGAGAAGAACACTAGAGGGCTTACGTAGCCCAGATGAAAACAAATCTTTATGCAGAAAGGGGAGCTGTAAATGCATTATCAATATGTCACAACTTATGCCAAAGCTTACAACAACCAACTGGAATTCAAGATTCCATTCCTATGTAGTATGTACCTGAACTGTATCAAGAATAGATTTTTTCACATCTTCCAGCTCACGAACATCCTCCCACTTAACATTAGCGACCTACACACACACACACAAATCAAACTTATTACCCTATAGAATAGATGTAATGCCACCAACCATTTTTTATTTTACACACCTTGGGATTCCCCAAAGCCAATGCATTCCTTTTCTTTGACCTCTCCAAAGCTTTGACCATGAATTCTTTGCTGTCACCCAACTTCTCAAAGCTACTGCCATTAATAGGAATCAAACTTGAACTAGCATCAGCAACTAAAGCCCTAATATCCCTTGGCATGAAACCAAAAGTCTGTCCAAACATATCTTTTACAACATCCTCTTTACAAGTCTGCAAGGAGCATACATCATTCATTAGATTTTAAGATAAATATATGTATACAGTAAAATATTCTTATTCTTATTCTTACTTACATCTGGAACCAATTCAGAGATAAGGTGAAGTGATTGGGATAGCATTTCCACTCTCTGGTCTTCGGTCAAACCTCCCATTTTCGTTTCATGGTTGAAACAACGCCTAATTGTAGGTGGCAACCCTTCAGAGTTATCAGCAGCTGCAACTAGCAGCACAGGATGGGTATTAACCGTGTTCATATGCTACATAATGAGAGTAAAGCAATGAGCAACCAATGGATAATTGACATGTTTTTATGGCAGAAATCGTCATCTCAAAACATCAACCTCTGCTTCTTCTTCTTCATTTTCATAATCATCATCTTGTCTAAATGGCTCGGTGAATTCCCTAATTACATATGCAACTTCAGAATTCATACCAACTTGATCATTTTGTGAACCATCATTAGAGCTCAAATTGTCGAAAGCATCAAAATTTCTGAAGAAGAAGCCCTAAGCAGCTGCATATCCATGAACCGTAACAAGAGTTGGTGAATCCTCCTTGCTGTCGAAGGTGAAAATGTTGATAAATCTTGGTTCATTGCTGGAACAACGAAACCTGAGATGCATAGAGAGTAGATGCATAGAGTGTGTGCAACTGTTAACAAATTATCAGAATGGGATTGAGAAGCAGAAAAGTACGAGGGGAGGATCTCGCACCTAAGAAATCAAACAAGAATGAGAATAAGGGAGAAGGAACGAAGAATACCTGAGATGCATAAAGAGTAAAAGTGGGGATCGTGGAATGAAGAGGAGATCGCCGTCTCCTCCATAGGGATGTGAACGAACCCTAACAAATCAACTCCGAAAATATAGGCATCTTTCACTTAGATTTATTGAAGATAATGAAATCGACTGGAGACATTGAAGCGAACGATTAAAGATAGTTGAAGAGATAAGAGTATAACAATATCAAGAAATATTACCTAAAACTTTGAATCAACAATGCCATGAAATCGAACCGGAGGGTGAAGAAGGTGCGACTTCATCCAAGTTCTCATCGTTTGAATCAATTAGGGATTTAAATCTGGGGTTTTTTTTCTATTGGGCGTTTTAGGGATGATGTGCTAGGGTTTTTCCAGGATGATGATTTAGGTAGGGTTCAAAATCGAATTGAAATATTGGGGCTTTATATGAATGAATGAAATATGAAACAACGATTTGATTTTCATGTTAAATATTTTGCGAATGAATAAGAAGATGATTATGGTGAAAGAGAAGGGTGGAGAGAAAGGTAGGAGAAAAGTAGAAAGTGTGGATCGATTTCATGAGGGTTGAACCACTCATCATTGTTATCTTCCATCCCTAAAGTCACCGGTGTGGCGTCTTTTTTCTTTGGAGCCACCGTCGCTTCCATATTCTTTCCCTCAAGCCACAATCGCTGCGAAGATCAGTGAGATGAGACAACATTTGTTACAGCCATGGAAGATCTCTACGAAATCGCAAATTGGGTTTTAGGTTAGAGAGAGAGAGAGATAGAGAGAGAGAGAGAAAGAGAGGGGAAGACGAAGACCCTAGGCTTCTTTCTTGCTAATTGGAATAGGAGGCGGGGTTTTAATTTTTGAGATTTCATTTCCCGCTTGAAACGCGTGTTTCATTAAAAAAAATATAAAGCGACACACTTACATGACGCACATCTTATGAAAGGCATCCTCCGTATTTCTTTTTTTTTTCTTTTCTGACACTAATTTTAGGGCGTGCACAAAAAGCGCATCCTCTATCCTTCAAATTTTAGAAGAGATGACATTATTTTTGGGGCACACACTTTTGCGTATCGTAAATCACCGCGTGTCATTGTTTGCGCGTCATTAAAGGGCTTTTTTCTAGTAGTGTCTATACTTTATATTGTTATTAGCTTCATATTTTATAACACTTTGATTAATATTTACTGCAACCAACTGTATATTTGTTTCCTGATAATAAGAATTAATTTATGCGTGAAACTTGCAAAATCTTTATGTTTGATAAGTGATCACTTCTTTGAGTTAATTATTTCATTTCATATTATTATATTTAATTTGGAAATTTCCCATATAAATAGTTGTAGTTTTCCATTTCATTGTCAATGCTTGCAATTCCAATGATGCATGTTTTTGACATATAGCAAAGATTTTATTTGTTTCTTATTGTTGCAAATTGCAATTTACTTTATTGACTTCTACATAAAAAGCATCATGAATGACTTTCTCAACGTGAAAGACTCTTTTGTTCATGGATTACTGGATTATCTTCAATCATGATCAAGCATCAGACCATGTAACTTTGGTTTCACCCCATTCACTTTTAGACACTGCAAGAGCATTCCAAACCGCTACAGATGCGTCAACTATATCATTAGCACAACCCCTAGAGGTATCACACTCGTCCACCACTGTTGCTTGTACACTTCTATCTTTGTAATATATATTGATAGATTTAAAGCACCTTTTTCCATGATTGTACCATGGAGTGGATAGTGCAACAATTGGTGTGCTGTCTGAGTGGTACTTGCCATCACATTCAGATGGCCCTCCACCACTCCCACCCTTCTCAAAGCTGTTAATTGTCATAGTCGCATCTATATTACCAGAGTCAGCATTGGCCCACGATATGGTTAAGGTAAGAAGTAGGGAAAAGAGAATAGGGAAGAAAACAATGCATAGCTTCATTTTATCTTTTGCTCTTTTTGATATGTTGGTGGTATTTGGTGTGAAATAATTAGTGTTACTATAATTGTATATATAATGATTGTGATGTTGTCTTGTAGTCGAATTACTATAAATGTATATATAATGATTATGGTTTTGTCTTTTAATCGAATGGTTAAATTCTTTTGGCGTTTAGGATATGTATATTTGTTAGGTTGAGATTACAATAACAATGTAACTATTTTGTGAATATTTGTTTTTACTATTAAAATGGAATCTTAATTAAACATAATAAGTAAAAAATGTAAGTTAAAATCACGATTCCATGTGATGTAGTGTAGAGTTTAAATTCTTTCATTTATAATGTAAGAATATTTATAAAAATGTACCTTTTATGTTATGTGTTAATTTGGATAAAAAAAACATGAATATAACCAATATACTAGAAAAAACATTTAAGTAGTGGCATATGTTGACGTGTCTTGAATTTGTATTAATGGTAATAAAGCAAAACTGTAAGAGCTCAACTAATGAAAAGGGTTTTGGGAGGTTTGCAGTGTGATTATTTTTTCTCTTTGTAATTTGCTTTGTTTATATTGTGATCTTGTTTTGCTTCTTTGTAACCATAGACATCATATTTTTGTGGATGTGTTGGCGTTTTCCTTTGTCTCAAATTATTTGTGGGGAAATGAAAAATCAAAACACAACATAAATATCATGGTACAAGAAATGTAAAAAAAAAAAAAAAAAAAAAAAAAAAAAAACACACACACATCTTCATGTTACTATTCGAAAGTGGGATTTTTATGGAAATAATCTATTGAAAGATGTCGATGGATTACCAAAGAAACAGTTACAACCAAAACAACCATATTTTGTGCATACTGACCATAAAAACTGGATTTTTAAAATTTTTTAATTTTTGTAATAAAGTCATATTATTGACAGAATTTCCGTCGGTAAAGGTGTCACCGATCAAAGCAGGCCAGACGCACTTCCGTTGTTATTCCCATGGTAATTTTTTGACAAACGTTTACACCACCATTCCGTCTGTAAATCTGTGGGAAATCCGTTGATAGGACTCTTCCGATGGACTTTGCTGTCATTATTAGCCATTTTTCTAGTAGTGATATCATGATCCTAAGTCATCTAATATGTAGAATCATGTATTTTTGTTTATGTCGTATATTTAAATGTTTAAATGTTTGACTGTTAACATAACTACAAAAGTAAAATTTTGAGCTTCTTGTATTTCATCGTGCATTAGACATTGACGAGTTAAATAGTTAATGCTTACATCAAAAGGAAGCATGCATGTGCTTAAATAGTTAATACTAACTTCAAAATGATGCATGCATATAATTATACTAGCAACATTGAATTTCTACTTGATGTAACAATTAGGTATTGATAATCATGATTAAACCGTAGCTAGGACATAGTTTTCAAGTAATGATCTTGATTATGCAAATATTCTTGTCTTTAGCATGAGATGCCATCCAGCTAAGTATTTGATAACAATGAAAAATTCTATAAGTAAAACAAAATAACATTACATTATCATAAGTGTTGACAAGAACACTCGGGGAAGAGTATAGTTTATTTAACGTATTTTATTCTTATTATGTAATAAAAACTATATTTAATGTTTTTGTTATATTTAACCACATCTTTCACGTATATAAAATCACTTGAGTTCTTCTGTTTCTTGTCCAATTACATTTTTAAACCAAATCTTTGTTAGATGCAAGAAAGCCTACTCCATTTTAACTTGGAATCAAATTCCCTTGTCTTTGCTGTTGTGATTTGATGGGTTGTATGTGTCATGTAGTTATGTTTCACAAATGAATTGTCCTTTGATAATTCTTTAAATAAATAATAATAGTATATATAATTTATAAGCTTTCGTCTATATGCTTTTATGAAATATATATATATATATATATATATATATATATATATATATATATATATATATATATATATATATGTTAATCTATTTTATAACGTACATCACATATTTCTATATACGGTACAAGGAATCATGACAATATGGACCACAAATATCGCCGTTAAAGCCCTGAAAAATCACCGCTAAAGCTTTTAAGAATGTTTCACGTTGATGCTCACAAATCGTTGATATTGAGGTCATTGATGATGCTAAACTTTCACCGCTAATAATGTTGCCCTTAATATTGTCGTTGGTATTGAGATTCTGCCGGTAATAATGTCCCTAGTGATTAAGACGTTCCCATTTGCTTCCTGTCGCTCCCACTGATGTGGCCACTGTTGTTTTAATAAATGTAGATAAAGTATTTATGTTAATGCAAAATGACTACTGTTATATATACAGGTAGGCCTGTTTTACATGGTGGACGATATGGGCGACCGTCCACGGTCCATCTTTGAAAGGGTTTAATCTTTTTTATGGAAATTATTATATTTAAAATATAGTACAAGTAATTTTTTTAAATTATTGAGTTGTTATAAAAAACTTGATGACATTTATGTATTTTAAATGTCCATTTTTTTTCTCTCGTCCTAGACACAAAATATGTTTGAAACTGTATACAAGAAATGAATAAAAATTGCAATTTATAAAAAAGTATGTATAAAATACTTCAAAATCTATGATATCTATTTTATGTTGTTTGTTACACACAAACCGGCAATAAAACATAAAACTACTCTTCATTATACCGTCTTCATCGTTCACCTGATAATCGTTTTGGGCGGACAAAGATCGAACCATTTTTTGAAATTCTTGTTTTAAGCAAATTAAGAAGAATAATATCAGCATCTAGTTAATAAGAATTGAATCAACATCTACCACAACATGCGATCCCCCCACGTAAATCGGTTATTGATAATACATGAATCATTTTTTGAGAAAGATCATAATATTCTTGTAGGATCGACTGTAGTGATCCTAAAATCATTACTATTTAATCTTTTAAAAAAGAAAGAAAGTTCTAATATGTTGTTTTCGACTAAGTACATCGAATATAAAACCTATAAGACATCTTTTGAATTTTTTATTCTTAAATAAAATATTTAAGATGTATTTTTCATGTTTTAAAGTTGGGAAATCTTAAAAAAAAAAAAAACAAAAAAAGGTCCATATATTTTAGCTTTATTAACAAAAAAAAACTCACTCTTGATTTTCATTCTATTTATTTATTTAGTTAATTTTCAATTTAACCTTTGAAACCGATAAATACTTGCAAAATAACTCTTTTAACTAATTAGTACCGGTTTTAAGGGTTAACTTGCAAAAATAAATAAATAAATAATCATTGATGAATTTTTCGTTAATAAGATTAAAGTTTAAAAATTTTTCTACAGATTTTCTTTTATATATATACTAATTTTATTTACAGAAAACATATAATTATTTATTAAAAAACTTAAGTTAAAGATATAAATAATGATAATTTATATATTATTTTTTGGATTTTTTTTGTGATTCTTTTTAAAACTACAACTTACCGAAGATTCTTTCACAGTCGAACGGTGTCTCATAAAATAAAGGTTCATCAAAAGTTGTTAATCCTAAATAGAGCTCCATTATACACATCATCTGGCCGAGAAATGCATTTTCTTACGAAAAATCAACAAAAGTCCGTTTTTGTGTTCATCAATGCCTCATTTTTTCAAATTTTCTTCATTTTTTCAGATTTTACACCCTTTTGGCATGTCACCATTGCTATAAAAGCCTTCATATTTAAAC